GAATTGGTTGAAGTTCATTTAGATTTTAGAGGACACTTCAGCTTATTTGAGAAAATAATATGAAATTATATAATGAAATCTCTGTACAATATCTATAACGAAATTGAAAAAATTAACAAAAAACCATCCTTATAAAAAAATCTAATAACATCAGTGTTATTGGCGGGGGACCTGAAAAGCTAATTCATTGTAAGCAATAATTCCATAAAGCGAGATTTGTTGTGAGTTATAAAAAGATTCCACTGTCGTACAAGTTGACGCAATTGACTTACGGTTTGTTAGATGTATGTTAGATTGTATTGTAGTTGTTCAAGTCAACCCTGGTAAAATCCTCGCGCACAGAAGTTCAAGTGTCTCAGTGTTCTATGCCTATAGACGAAGATCCATGCCAACGAATTTATTTGGAAAATGTTTCGGATGTTCCCTTGAAACCCGATGAAAGGTGCATTGTAAGACTTCAATTTCACGCAAGACCTGATAATTTTTATGTCCGACTTATCTGCGTCATTATCCAAAATATTCGTCGAATCGACGAGAGAATAATGAAGTCGCCAAAAAGTTGACAACGCGTGGCATCAAGACCGCGCAGTTTCCTCTCATTGATTCGAAATCTGCGCATAATTTAGACTCAATATTTCTTGTTCGCAGTATTCAAGGTGTTGTTGGAAACTTTATGTCGATTCTTCGGGGAAACACGGCACCGGGATTTTCAAACCCCCCGGATTCCTTTGTTTTCACGGACTCGTGAAGATTCTAGAATTTTTAAAACTTGGCGTAACCGCGAGTGAGCACGATTTTTTTGTGAAGAGAAAAGAATATTCCGCTTCCGCAAACCGCGTCTTGCCTCGCACTTGACCGTGATGTCCTGCGGAACTAACCGAACCGGACTGAAAGAAGTTTCCGGCTTCTGACTCGGATGCCGATGCCCTCGGGTTTTTATCTCTTTTGTGCTGCACCACCAAAAAAAAGGAAAAGAACGAAAAATAATTGTTTTCCTCTCCTTATTTTCAGCTTTTTCTCTCTCTATAGAACCTCGAGTATCTATGCTTCGATGAACATGATGCGAATTCCGTCGACCGGAGAAAGAAAAGCGTTTTAGGTGCAATTTTAAGTTGCAGCCGCTTCGACCACGATATTTACAAAACATTTTCATACGATTTATTTTAAATTCATGATTATTTTGAGCTTGGAATGTCAGTGATGGAACGTGTGATCTGATGATAAGCAGAAAACGAAGAAATGGGAATAAATTTAATGAGGGCACCTGGAATCGTGTTGATGTCCGAATGAAATTACGATTGATTTTTTTAAATGGAAATTTCAATATTCGGGGATCATTTTGATTATTTAAATCGTTACTGTACTGTTCATATTCTTCCACAGTATTTTACAGTGCTTGATTATCGGGAAATTGGAGTCTTGTAGTAATTATCCCGTGGGTGCTTATCTGTTGAAATTTCCCGTGTGCAAATAAGTTCAAGTTCGATTCCAACGATGATACAATATATATGAGGACCCTTCTTCGGAGATTTTGTCTACTTCGATTTTCTCTGTACACTGTCATGATTTTTTATTGTCCCATAGCTTCTCTCTTAATGTTCGAATTTTTTTTGGTTCCTTGAATTTCGTTGTAGAGACGAAGACACCTTGTAGACACCTTTACTGTGTACTGTATATTGTAGATCTTACTCGTTGGTCGAAGCGTGGGAACGCATGCATGCATAATTTTTTCGATATTTTATTCTGGAACAGATGGTAGAAATCTCTTGGCAGAGATAAACCTGGGAACTACAGTAGTTCATAATCTTACTGCGAGGTTTGACTCTTGTGATGCGAAGAACTTTTTTTTTGCCACCATAATGTCGGTATAATTGTGGTAATAGGCTGGTGGAAGATGTGGAAATTATTTCCCAGGGCTCGGACTAATTTCGAATCGATACAATTGTGTCCCAACTTGGACTGCGTGTGAAAATCGGAAGCGAAATGGGATTTGTCTTTCCATTCGCCTGTGAAGGGCATTCGTTGTTTTTGGGTGCATTTCCGTCAATACCCTGAGATTTTAATTATAACACTGGCGTGACTCAAGTTTGCGTCCCAGAATATGCTAATGACTGTCAATATTAAATATTTATATTTTTTTACGTGAAAAAAGTTTTTTTTCGAGGTCGCCATTTCCGGGAAGCAGGAATTTCCACGCAAATTTTGGTGGAAAAACTGCGCTGCGATGATGCTGGGGATCGGAAATGTACCTTACCCTTGAAATGGTAATTATTTTCTTGCACCTCAACGAGTCTCATGCTGCGTTCGAATTGACCCAAGGTCGACAGAACCCGAAAATATTTTTTTTCTAGTAGAGAACCCGCAGTACTTGAGGCATTACATGTTTTAGATGTAGACTCTTCTCCGTATTTTCTGCCTGCTTTCTCGGAAGTCATTCGCTTCTGTGAACTCATTTTAGGCGATTTCCAATTTACACCTTGTTTCTGACACTAGTGATGCCTCAGTATGAATAAATGAATGTTTTCTCAATTACGCGGAATTTTTTGTACAGTTCCGGTTTTTTAAAGAATGAAGCGTATGGAATTTCCCATTTCGCACCGGCTTCTGAAGGACGAATCGGTTTGTTTTTGCGATAAATTCAGAATTGTAGAAAAAAAAAGTCAACTTGAGCAGTAAAGCGTCCTGTGAAATTTTAAAGAAAAAATAGAGAAAGATTCTTGAATCGAACTTCGATTTTAAGGATAGAAAAAAATAAAATGAAAGACGTGCATGAAGGATGAATAAATCACGTTCTCGTATTTTCAAAATTCCAATTTTTCTCTCAAATTGACGCGCAGTGCATCATGAGAGCTCAAATTAAACATCCGCGCTAAATAATTTCCTCGGCATTATTTGTCGGGACCCGCCATCGTATTTTGTTGGACGAGTTTCGCTTTCGCGGATTTACAAAAGCTATGATTCCTAGACCTTGGACTTGATCGTTTCCCCACAAAAATATTGCTAGTTGAGTACTGTACTGTACTGTGCCCATGTGGCGTTTCCAGGTAACGAGGGTCGCAACGTATTACCCACGGTTTTATCGCCGCGCGAAATCGTAAATCGGCGGGGTTCTTCTTTTGCACCGGCCCTTGGTATATAAATTTTTTTGTATGATGTGTTGAGCATACGGGCGAGGATAGAAACCCTGCGATTCTGACCGAGGTTTATTTCTCGAAGTTAGACCGGAAAACCCGTGCTTCTAAATATTTTTGAAAATCGGTTCCTGTGGGGAAATCTTTCTTGACACTACTATATCAGGTGAACCTCGATAAGTCGAATTCCTCCCGAAGTCGATTTTTTTCAAGTCCCAGTTTGAATTCCCTTGAAATCAATCCATTAAAACCCTCCCAAACTAGAAGTCTTTTTCTCTAAAACCTCTGTGAGTCGAATTTTCTGAGGCCTTCTGGTTATTATTTCCTTGAAATATGAAAGAGAAAATGATAAAAACCAATAATTTGATGCATCTTGAAAGGGATTGAAAGAAAAATGTAGCAAATGAACCCCTCCAAGTTCAGCAAGGTGTAAACTCATTAAGGAGCAAGTTTTGGCCCAGAATATCCTCATTATGATTCTCCACATTTTTTTTTTTACTTCTCTTCACAACAAAATTGTTTGTTTCCTGAACTGGAAACCTCCAAAAACCAAGTCGAATTTTTTTTTCCTGGTCTTTAGAAATTTGACTCGGAGGTTCAACTTCAGGAGTTTGGGTTAAGAAGCATGTCTTAAATGGAGCAGACATTGCTTGCTTGATGTGACACTTCCGTCGAGTTCCACTTATGAATTTGTTTCGGAATTTTTCAAATGATCTATTTATGAATTGTCCGAACTTGATTCAAGCAGAAAATGAGGTGAACTGAAAGATCTATAATTTTAAACAGCAGTATTTGACTTCGATCAGCTTGAGTTTCATGCAAACTTGAATACGGTATTCGAGTTCGACATGACGATCGTGATTAAACTGATAATAATTAGTTATGTGGGAAATCGAAATCTCATGAAGAAAATGACCCGAGAAGTCGTCGATGAAGTGCCATGTTCCTCGAGATTAAAACTATCATTTTTCTTCTATCATAAGTGCTATTGCACATCCGGTCATCAATTCGGGTAATTAACCTTCCTATAATTTACTTTAATTGGTCTGATACCCCTAATCGCGTCCTTGCGTGACTCTGGGAGGAAACCACATCGACCGTTTTTCACGAAGAAATTTTCCGTCTAATATGGATATCACATTGTCGGGGGTTTTCCTAGTGAACTCTGCACCAACACCACAAAAAACCGAATTACAATAAAATATTGTTGCAGCGAAGCTCTTGGGACCTGGGGACAAAACCTGCATTATTACGAGAAAAATATTACACTGAGCCTCACATAATAGTGAGACCCCGAGATGCGGATGTAATTGGTGCATCAATATTGTCCCTAAGTCGAGTCTCATTTTTCCTTAGACTTGTATTGCATAATTTTCAATTGGTGTTTTATGGACAAAATACTTGCCATAATTCCATGAAAATAAAAATTGTCTCCCAATTGAAACTGATTCAGTCAATATATTTCAACACAATATGGACATTTGGGGAATTGAATACTGATACCTCTGTACAGTACATAGAAATGTTGGCATTCTCTGTAAAAAATAACATTCAAGTGAAAAAGAGAGAAGGAAGTCCCTTTATGCTGGAGGTAATTTTATCAGCTATAGTGCAGATAACTCAAGAGTAAATTCAATTTGAACAAGAATTCTAATTTCTTCAGATTCGTTGTGACGAGATTTTATTGCATTGAGATATTTTCATTGTAGAACGGCTGAACCAGTTTTTAAGCTGCAGTACCTCGCGGATGGTGAATAGTTCTGCCATGTCTCTGAAATATTGTAATTTCACATCTTATTTGGATTGCTGTCAGGCCAACTTTTCGAAAGAAAATTTTACTTTTATTCTTTGCGTTTTTTATTTATCAGTATGATCGATCAAAATCAATGGAAGCGGAAGGATTTGCAGGAAATTCATTTCCGCCATTTCGAAGGTGCGGGGATTTTTTAGCACCATGGGTTGCGTTCATGTGTCGAGAAATCGCTGCCTTTTCCTTTTTTTCTTTCAATGCGGACTAAATAGGCGTGAATTCATGTGTTTGTTTGTTTTTGCATTACAGGACGATCGATGGGATTTTTGGACGACAGCGGCGTGATCCTGGACGACGGGTCCGGCATGGGCGGCATGGACGGGAACGGGATGGCGACCGGGTTCTCCATGATGCTTGGCGGGACGGGCGGCGGCCACGGGTCCGCGTCCATGGGCCACCCGCACATGGGCCACCATCATCACCCGCACACGCACCACGGCGCCTACCAGCAGCACCACCACGCCCACCATCAACCCATGCATCCCGTGGGCCAGGGCAACAGCGGCATGAGTTCCAGCCAGCACCTGGGCACGGTGGGCCCGTTCCCGTCGCGTCCGTCGCCGAGTGCGGACGGCGTGCCTGGCCAAGAGCGCTATTCTCGCAAGGTTTTCGTCGGCGGACTGCCGCCTGATATTGACGAAGGTATGAAGACCCGTGTTTTTTGTTGTTTTGTTTTTTAGCATGATTGTTTGTGTGAACATTCAATATTTTGAAGGAAAAGTGGCGCTTTGCCAGGAACTTACTGAAGGTGTAATGTAGTGTAATGTCGTCGTGAAGTGTCTTTTTGAGGCTAGGTTCAGCTCGTTGAAATGAACGGAGGTCTCCAAGGTGTTGAGCGCGTTTCTTCAACTGGTGGATTCCTCGTGTTATTTGTGGCCATGGATTTCCCCATTGGAAAAAAAGAGGGGACTGTTCGAAAGTGTCTGATAAGAAGGACTAATGTAGTACCTTATTTACGCGAGGACCACACACATATTTTTGGTTTTTGTTTTTTAAAGGGAAAGGGTGCACGTCGTAGGCAATTATAAAATTTAAATTTAGTATTTATGCTACAAGTTGAACCTCTGTAAGTCGATTACCTCCCTAACTCGAATTTTTTTCTAGTCCCCATCTGATTCCCTTGGAAACAATGCATTAAAAACCTCTCTAACTCGAAGTATTTTTCTCTCAAAACTCTGTAAGTCGAATTTTCTGAGGCCTTTTGGTTACTATTTCCTTGAAACATGAAAGAAAAAATCAATGAAAAAAATTATTTTATGCATCTTGAAAGGGAGTAAAAGACTAATTAAGCAAATGAACTCCTGCATCCAAGTTCAGCAAGCTGTAAACTCATTTAGAAGCAAGTTTTGGCCCAGAATATCCTCGTTTACAATGTCCTGCATTTTTACATATCGTAGCAGCAAAATCGATTGTTTCCATAACTCAAAAGCTCATATCAAAATCTCCCCAAGTCGAATTTTTTTCCAGGTCCCTAAAAATTCGACTTACAGAGGTTCGACTTGTATTTAGAAATGTTAGAGTTTAGGTGCATGTCATGTTTGATGGAAGAAACTAAATAAAAATTTTCAAAATCCAATTCTTTCACGCTGTTCGGACTCTACAGAGATCTAGTTTTTTGTCATTTTTTGTTTAAGAATGACTGCAGCATATTGTTTTTTTATTTAGATTAAGTCTCTTCTTTGGTTTGAAACTTTCGTGGGTGAGATTTGTGACGGCGGTCTTGAAACTTTAAATTTGTAATCCGCAGTGGAAGTGATTTCTTGGCACAGGAAGTAAAGAAGCAATAAAAAACATAATTCCAAGTGTTTTGAAAGGAAAGGTAAGACTAAATTGTGCAAATTCAGTCCCTGCCTCCCAAGTTCAGCATCCTGTCAACTCATTTAAGATTCATTTAATGCCCAGAATATCACCATTTACAATTTTTTTTTCTATAACAAAAATTTTGGTTCTGTTACTCAAACCTCAATTATTCAAAAGCACCCCAAGTCTTAATTTTTTTGGTGGTCCCTTGAAATTCAACTTGGAGAGGTTCAACTGTATTTCAAAATTACACCCCCACTTTTCCTCTCAAATTTGAAGGAAAAAGGTGCCTGTAATACTCGGATTATTTTTCTGAATTTCGTATTGAATTGCGTTTATCATCCGTCGAATAATTAGCACGATCGTACCAGTGCCATGAGAAACAATCTCCTGGTAATCTGTTCAAAAAAACCGTGCAAAATAAAATCAACTCGAATGCGAGTCAGGAGGCGAGTTCCTTATCTGATAGCTCGACTCTACGGAAATGTCATTCGAACATGTCGAACAGCGACCCTCGTTTTTTTCAAATTATTCGTGCATTCTGATGTTGGATGATCAAAGAAAGCTCTTATGTTGCGATAGATGCTCATCCTGTTCGCACCACGAATCCGCGATTATGAAATTATTTAGTGCAGAATATCCAAGGGTAACTTCATCATATTTGGTCTGCATTATATTAAATTTGTAACACTTCAGTATGTAGCAGAACTCGGGTTGCCTGTGCCAACTGTGGGGTCCCTTTATCCGAATAATCGAATACGAAAGAAAGAAAAAAATCCCAAATTGACAAATATTTGACGTGCTCGGGAATCTCGAACCTATTAAGCCGAATCATCTTGATTCGACTGTACTCTCATCTTATTTAGATGATAATTCCAAGCTGCTGAAACAGTGGGTAATTTGCTTATAAAACGTTTCATGCAATCCTTGAATATCTTGTTTATTTAATTAGAAGTTTACGGTACGCGAAACACCTGGTGCTTTAATGTAAGGAATTCGAGTTCTTCGAATTGCATCACTTCACTCGCTAAACCTGTGTTCCCCAACCCATGGTCCGCGGTCCGACAAAAAACTTCTGTGGACCGGCGCCGGTCCGCGGAAAATTTTCTGCAGCACGATCGATTCATAAAAGTAGCAACGAAGTATGTGATCTTTATCTGAGATCTGGGAAAAACCATGTTAGTTGAAATTATCTAAAGAAAAAAAAATAAAGTTGGATTTTCTTTTAATTACACTTCGGACAAATTTTCGCGTGCTGAAATAAATTATTTTAATTTTTTCAGTCTGAGAAACTTTTCTTCAAGCCCACCTTTCCAATTTGTTGAAAACATTCCACTGTATGCACGTGCTTCATTTAAAAAGAGAGAAGGAAGTCCCTCTATGCTGGAGGTAATTTGTTTTAATTAGCTAAATGGAAGGGAAATTGGTGAGAGAAATGCCCAAGAACTTTTCTTACACTAATTTTAGGGTTAGAAATATCTGTTTCTTGTAATTTGGTCAAACGTATTTGCAATTTTATCACAAAATGTTCCTATTGGAAGTCCGTGTCCTCATGTTGGGCCTTTTTTCGTCAATTTTCTATGGGAAAATAAGTGTCTCTATGTAGAATTGTCCACATGTCAAGGTGTCTGCATGTGGGTGTATCACTGTAATTCACTCAATTTCTTTATCAGCTATAGTGCAGATAACTCAAGAGTAAATTCAATTTGAACAAGAATTCTAATTTCTTCAGATTCGTTGTGACGAGATTTTATTGCATTGAGATATTTTCATTGTAGAACGGCTGAACCAGTTTTTAAGCTGCAGTACCTCGCGGATGGTGAATAGTTCTGCCATGTCTCTGAAATATTGTAATTTCACATCTTATTTGGATTGCTGTCAGGCCAACTTTTCGAAAGAAAATTTTACTTTTATTCTTTGCGTTTTTTATTTATCAGTATGATCGATCAAAATCAATGGAAGCGGAAGGATTTGCAGGAAATTCATTTCCGCCATTTCGAAGGTGCGGGGATTTTTTAGCACCATGGGTTGCGTTCATGTGTCGAGAAATCGCTGCCTTTTCCTTTTTTTCTTTCAATGCGGACTAAATAGGCGTGAATTCATGTGTTCGTTTGTTTTTGCATTACAGGACGATCGATGGGATTTTTGGACGACAGCGGCGTGATCCTGGACGACGGGTCCGGCATGGGCGGCATGGACGGGAACGGGATGGCGACCGGGTTCTCCATGATGCTTGGCGGGACGGGCGGCGGCCACGGGTCCGCGTCCATGGGCCACCCGCACATGGGCCACCATCATCACCCGCACACGCACCACGGCGCCTACCAGCAGCACCACCACGCCCACCATCAACCCATGCATCCCGTGGGCCAGGGCAACAGCGGCATGAGTTCCAGCCAGCACCTGGGCACGGTGGGCCCGTTCCCGTCGCGTCCGTCGCCGAGTGCGGACGGCGTGCCTGGCCAAGAGCGCTATTCTCGCAAGGTTTTCGTCGGCGGACTGCCGCCTGATATTGACGAAGGTATGAAGACCCGTGTTTTTTGTTGTTTTGTTTTTTAGCATGATTGTTTGTGTGAACATTCAATATTTTGAAGGAAAAGTGGCGCTTTGCCAGGAACTTACTGAAGGTGTAATGTAGTGTAATGTCGTCGTGAAGTGTCTTTTTGAGGCTAGGTTCAGCTCGTTGAAATGAACGGAGGTCTCCAAGGTGTTGAGCGCGTTTCTTCAACTGGTGGATTCCTCGTGTTATTTGTGGCCATGGATTTCCCCATTGGAAAAAAAGAGGGGACTGTTCGAAAGTGTCTGATAAGAAGGACTAATGTAGTACCTTATTTACGCGAGGACCACACACATATTTTTGGTTTTTGTTTTTTAAAGGGAAAGGGTGCACGTCGTAGGCAATTATAAAATTTTAATTTAGTATTTATGCTACAAGTTGAACCTCTGTAAGTCGAATACCTCCCTAACTCGAATTTTTTTCTAGTCCCCATCTGATTCCCTTGGAAACAATGCATTAAAAACCTCTCTAACTCGAAGTATTTTTCTCTCAAAACTCTGTAAGTCGAATTTTCTGAGGCCTTTTGGTTACTATTTCTTTGAAACATGAAAGAAAAAATCAATGAAAAAAATTATTTTATGCATCTTGAAAGGGAGTGAAAGACTAATTAAGCAAATGGACTCCTGCATCCAAGTTCAGCAAGCTGTAAACTCATTTAGAAGCAAGTTTTGGCCCAGAATATCCTCGTTTACAATGTCCTGCATTTTTACATATCGTAGCAGCAAAATCGATTGTTTCCATAAATCAAAAGCTCATAATATCAAAACCTCCCCAAGTCGAAACCCCCTTGAGTCGAATTTTTTTCCAGGTCCCTAAAAATTCGACTTACAGAGGTTCGACTTGTACTGTATTTAGAAATATAAAGTTTAGGTGCCTGTCATGTTTGATGGAAGAAAGTAAATAAAAATTTTCAAAATCCAATTCTTTCACGCTGTTCGGACTCTACAGAAATTTAGTTTTTTGTCATTTTTTGTTTTAGAATGACTTCAGCATATTGTTTTTTTTTATTTAGATTAAGTCTCTTCTTTGGTTTGAAACTTCAGTGGGTGAGATTTGTGACGGCGGTCTTGAAACTTTAAATTTGTAATCCGCAGTGGAAGTGATTTCTTGGCACAGGAAGTAAAGAAGCAATAAAAAACATAATTCCAAGTGTTTTGAAAGGAAAGGTAAGACTAAATTGTGCAAATTTAGTCCCTGCCTCCCAAGTTCAGCATCCTGTCAACTCATTTAAGATTCATTTAATGCCCAGAATATCACCATTTACAATTTTCTTTTCTATAGCAAAAATTTTGGTTCTGTTACTCAAACCTCAATTATTCAAAAGCACCCCAAGTCTTAATATTTTTGGTGGTCCCTTGAAATTCAACTTGGAGAGGTTCAACTGTATTTCAAAATGACACCCCCACTTTTCCTCTCAAATTTGAAGGAAAAAAGTGCCTGTAATACTCGGATTATTTTTCTGAATTTCGTATTGAATTGCGTTTATCATCCGTCGAATAATTAGCACGATCGTACCAGTGCCATGAGGAACAATCTCCTGGTAATCTGTTCAAAAAAAAACCGTGCAAAAGAAAATAAACTCGAATGCGAGTCAGGAGGCGAGTTCCTTATCTGATAGCTCGACTCTACGGAAATGTCATTCGAACATGTCGAACAGCGACCCTCTTTTTTTTTTCAAATTATTCGTGCATTCTGATGTTGCATAATCAAAGGAAGCTCTTATGTTGCGATAGATGCTCATCCTGTTTGCACCACGAATCGGCGAGTTTGAAATTATTTAGCGCAGAATATCCAAGGGTAACTTCGTCATATTTGGTCTGCATTATATTAAATTTGTAACACTTCAGTATGTAGCAGAACTCGGGTTGCCTGTGCCAACTGTGGGGTCCCTTTATCCGAATAATCGAATACGAAAGAAAGAAAAAAATCCCAAATTGACAAATATTTGACGTGCTCGGGAATCTCGAACCTATTAAGCCGAATCATCTTGATTCGACTGTACTCTCATCTTATTTAGATGATAATTCCAAGCTGCTGAAACAGTGGGTAATTTGCTTATAAAACGTTTCATGCAATCCTTGAATATCTTGTTTATTTAATTAGAAGTTTACGGTACGCGAAACACCTGGTGCTTTAATGTAAGGAATTCGAGTTCTTCGAATTGCATCACTTCACTCGCTAAACCTGTGTTCCCCAACCCATGGTCCGCGGTCCGACAAAAAACTTCTGTGGACCGGCGCCGGTCCGCGGAAAATTTTCTGCAGCACGATCGATTCATAAAAGTAGCAACGAAGTATGTGATCTTTATCTGAGATCTGGGAAAAACCATGTTAGTTGAAATTATCTAAAGAAAAAAAAATAAAGTTGGATTTTCTTTTGATTACACTTCGGACAAATTTTCGCGTGCTGAAATAAATTATTTTAATTTTTTCAGTCTGAGAAACTTTTCTTCAAGCCCACCTTTCCAATTTGTTGAAAACATTCCACTGTATGCACGTGCTTCATTGGATTTTGATTTTCGCAAAAAAAAAGCAGAAACTTTTTAAATGCCCGGCATTGAGTCTTTGAAGAATAACTTTCGAGTCCGCAAAAATTTCACAAAACTTTGCCGGTCCAACAAAAACTTAATAGCGATTTGCCGGGCTCAAGAAAGTTGAGGAACACTGTGCTAAACAATCGTAAATTGTCAATGCTATGTTAGTATTTGGCGGCGATTCCTTTTTTTTTTTTTTTCCTTACAGTATTGATAATTTTTGTGCATCTTGTACATTTTGGATGTTCGTGGAATTTTCCGAGTCCTTGAAGCATTTATTTTGTTCGAGATTTTAATTCATTTCTACCACTCGACGTCCGCTGATTCATACCATGTTTCACGCGTGATAAGATCTCTTGTGGTCCTTGAATAAGCCTGTATGAAATGATTCCTGGAATGCTCGAATTTCTTGAGCGAAACGTTGTGGGATATGGTTCATTTTTGTGTGTGTGTGTAAGATATTTTCTATCGTAACTCACGGATTTGAATGTTCTTTTGGGGTCCATATCTGAATCCAAGAATGCGCGTCTGTGAATTCTTGATCGTGTATTTTTTGAGTTCGGAAAGATTATGTCGGTGTTCTCTAACCTTTTTTGGCCCGTGGAAATGGCAAATTTGCATAAATTTTTCTGCGGACCGACGAAGTTTCATAAGATATTTTCCAACTCGACAAACGTTTTGCTTGAAAGACATTATTATGGCAGGTATTTTAAAAGTTTCTGATGCTTGAAAACTTAAGTTAAAACCGATGAAGCATGAACAGTGGAATTTTTGCAACAAAAAAAATATGTAGGTGAGCTTGAAGAAGTGTTAGTAGGAGAAAACCCATCATTAATTTTTCATGGGGTAATTTTTACTGCCGTTGTCTTTCCGAAATTTCAGATGAAGATACTGTAATTTCCGTCATCGCTAATTTTGATAAAATTTACTAAGCTAAAAAGAATTTCCCGCGGATCGGCAGAAATTTCTGCGGACCGGCGCCGGTCCTCGGACCACGGGTTGGGGAACACTGGGTTATAGGTAACCAGAACAGCTATTTTTTCTCAATTCTCGCCCAATTTCGACTCGTTCGATGAATATTTCACGCTAGGTTTCTCAGTTCTTCCCGAAAGAAAATTAAATTGAGAGGTTTTCATGGGAGACCAAAAGATTAATTTGATCCCGTTATCTGCATGGTATTTGAGTCATTAAGTTGAACTTCTAGGGGACCAGGAAGAAAATTCGACTTAAGGGGGTTTTGATTTTTTGAGGTTTTGAGTAAATGAAACCAACATGTTTGCTTTGAGGAAAATTAAAAAATTTTGGGAAATTGTAGAGGAGGATATTCTGGGCATATACTTATTTTTTAATCAGTTTACAGCTTGCTGAACTTGGAGGCAGGGGTTCATTCGTTAAAAACTTAAATTAGTCTTTCACTTCAATTCAAGATGCATTAAAATCATTTGTTTTATTGTATTTTTCTTTCATATATCAAGGAAATGATAACCAAAAGGCCTCAGAAAATTCGGCTTAAAGAGGTTTGAGAGAAAAATACTTTGAGTTAGAGAGGTTTTCAATGCATTGTTTCCAAGGGAATCCAGACAGGGACTTGAAAAAACTCGAGTTAGGGAGGTTCAACTGTAATTTAATGGTGTTGGTAACTCTTGCATAAGGTTTGCCTGCTCACAAAAATAACTGGGCAAAATTCCCAGACGACTTGAGCGAATCTTCTGGGTATCGTTCTAGTCCTTCAGTTACTGAAAATGAATGCCTCCCACCTTCAAAGCAATTGAGCTCAAAATTTGAATATTATTCTGCGAATTTTGTCATTTTCGGCACAGTTGGATAAAACGTTGCGAATGTCTAAACGTGAAATCAACGACTTGTGAGGATTTGAAAACGATTGCATCAAAGTCCCATCCACCTACGTGAGCTATTGTTCGTATTTTCCCAGAAATAAGGTGAAGTAAAGGACCCCGTNAGTTGGATAAAACGTTGCGAATGTCTAAACGTGAAATCAACGACTTGTGAGGATTTGAAAACGATTGCATCAAAGTCCCATCCACCTACGTGAGCTATTGTTCGTATTTTCCCAGAAATAAGGTGAAGTAAAGGACCCCGTACTTCCTGTCTTATTGGTTTCGTTACCCAGGAAAAAGGGGGGCGAGGGTTCGTTAGCGTACACGCTCATCAAGCTGGAGGGCTCTCGCTAACGATGGGTTGAAGCGCTATTGGTACAGTGCTCCCGTGTGTCAATTTTTTTTTTTCTGCGCGCGCGTCTCAATTTTATTTGCGTGATGTATTTACTCGGTCTGGGTATTCATTATTTTATTCTTTTTTTGCAGAGGAGATCACGGCGAGCTTCAGGCGATTTGGTGCGCTTATCGTCGACTGGCCTCACAAAGCGGAGAGCAAATCGTATTTTCCTCCCAAGGGCTACGCTTTTTTGTTGTTCCAGGTGAGTCGTGACTGTCCTGTTTCCATTTCCCTTTTGACGGAAATTGAGTGAATTACAGTTAAGCCCTCCACATGTGGACACCTCAACATGCGGACAATTTGACATAGAGACGTTTATTTTTCAATAAAAAGAGCATAAAAAAGGCCTGACACATGGACACTGACTCAACATGAGGACATTGCATGATAAAATCGCCAATGAATTCCACAGAAATTGACTTATAAGAATTTATTGCAAGAAGCAGATATTTCTAACCCTAAGATTCATGCAAGAAAAATTCTTTCATTTTCCCATCCATTCAGCTAATGGAAAAAAATTACCCATTGCATAGTGTGACTTCCTTCTCTCTTTGTGATTTGAATGTTATTTTTGCATATGCGAACATTTAAATGTTCTGTACAGAGTTACACTATTCAATGCTCCAAATGTTCTTATGGATTTGAAAATATATTCACCGAATCAAATTCAAGTGGCAAACAATTTTTTGTGTGGAATTCTGAAGAATATTTCTTCCATAAAACACCAATTAAAAATGATATACTGTAATGTAAGTCTCTGGGAAAACAAGATTCAACTTAGGAACACTCTTGATTCACCAATTACGTCCGCATCTCGGGGTCTCACTGTATTATTATTTTACAACATTTTTATTGAGAGCGTTCGGTAATCTGTAGTACCTGTACAGTAAAATTCGTTGCTTGGAGGAAATCCTTTTTGAAGAAGCAGTTGGCGAAAAAAGTTCTCATGTGTTTACCACCTTCCGTAGGATTTGAAATAGCATTGAATGCCTCGGTGATCGTATGGAGCATCAAAAGTACTGATTGATGATAAATTACTGTGGAATGTAGTTTACATGCGAAACTGGAGTCACCCGAAACATTTGTTTATTCGAACTTCCCTTGGTCCCAATTAGTTTGTATGATGATGTACCATCCTGTCAATTAAATGATCTTGTATTCCCCGCAACTCTTGAATGAGTCCGACATACGAGGGTTGTCTCCGTTGGACGCGACCCTTGGTATTTTTCGAGTAGTTGTGATGATGGATCAAAATTATGACGTGGAGTCGTAGACCGTGGTGTTCTCAGGTTCTGGGATTTTTTTTCGGAATTGAAAAAAAAAATTAAATTTATTGGATGATGCATGAAAATTTTCCCGTTGCCGTCAGTGTTGTCCACTGTGTCACAGATTGCTGAAAACCTGTGAGGCCAGCTAAAAAAAATTTTAGCCTTTTTTTATCCATAATTTTTACATTTTAGATAATACTTTTATGTATTTTGTAATTAATTTTTTAGTTATCCTGAAAAATGTTAGCACCCTGTGACATGGGTGGAGAACACTGGCTGTAACTGTCAAGTTTTCATTTATCATCATGCGGTAAATTGAAAAACATTCTAAAGATTTAAAAAAAATCCCAGAGGCCTAGAACAGATCAGCTCTGTCATGGTTTTTTTTTTAATCACACCTACACTGAAAGGTTGCGTCCAACTGGGACAACCCTCGTATATTGTTCGACATTTTTTTTGAGTTTGTGAAAAGATTCGTAAATTTTCCCGTGGAAAGAAATGGAACGGGATTAACCTTGTCTGTAAAAGTCAAGTCGGTCTTGCTTGGAAGGAACATTTGGCGCACGTAGAAGGAGCAACAAAACAAGGGCAAAAAGAAACGTTTTTTTTTTTAAGGTTACTGATGTCGTTTCCGTGTCTGCGTTTCGGACGCGCGCACTCGAATAATATTTTTTTCTCCTGTATCTATCTCTCTCTCTCTCGACAACAGGAGGAGAGCTCGGTTCAGGCTTTGATCGACGCGTGCATCCAGGACGACGACAAGCTGTACCTGTGCGTGTCGTCGCCGACGATCAAGGACAAGCCGGTGCAGATCCGCCCGTGGCGCCTCACCGACGCGGACTACGTGCTTGACGCATCCATGCCGCTGGATCCGAGGAAGACCGTTTTTGTCGGCGGCGTCCCGCGTCCGCTGAAAGCTGGTACGTTTGTCGTCGACGTTGGTCTTTTTTTTTTTTAGGGAGATCCACGAGGTTTTCTGTCGTCAGTGTCGTTTTTGTTTTTTCTTTGTTGGGTAATCTGAAGTTTGGGTTTGTGATGAATGATTATTTTTTTGTGAAGCATCCAACGCCTTGAACTCAGATGAAGTTCAAGGCGTTGAGTTTCAATGCCGCACGTCTTGATCAAAGAAAGGAAGCGGAAACTTTTTTCCGCGGTATTCCGACCTATAACGTATTCACTTTTATATACAGTACGTACGATTTAGCGTATATTTTGAAAAAAAAATGGAAGCGTGTCGAATCCGATGTCGTATATTTAGTGTTGTCTTCATTCTTGAATTTTTACCAACGCAATCTATTACAGCATAAGTGGAATAAGTCGATTGAATTCAATGGAACAGATTTTTCGTGGCCCTTTCAGTTGAATGACGCAAGAGCTAGAATCCTTTTTTTTTTGGATTAGTTCGAGCTCGACTGAAGCATGAAGAACAGGACGTCTCGGATTCTGAAGAGGTGGAATGTAATGTAATTGAAGTGTCGTCTGTCGGATGGCGAGATTATTTTCCTTTTTTTATGGTCGCAATACGAATTGATTTGTGGTTTCCTTTAATGATTAAGTTCAGGAATTGATTAAAAAATTGTTTTAATTGAATTGAAATTTTTATCTGGGTGCTGCCGACACTCCAGTAAATATTTAATGTACTTCCTCCGAAATAAAGACAAACGGAAGAAATGAAACCTTACACTATTTCCAAGTATTACTCGTAACGTGAAACTTGCCCCCTCGAAGTAAGCTCTCATCGAGATTACTTGAATAATTTCGAATGACGCAGTATTTTTATGATGCAGTGATGTGCTCAGAAGGGCATTCGTTACTTGCGTCTTATCCTTGGAGATCAATGAGAACTCTCCGAAAGAATTCCTATTGTATTGTGGTCTAGGTAATTGCGAAATCATCGGAAGGTTTTGCTGCTAAATTTGAAAGTGTACAATATTTGAGGAAATGTTCGCCGACCTGATTAATTCTCGAATTTAGTTACAATCATTCGTCAATGATCGCGAAGGCCTCCGATTTTTCGTGGAAGATATTACATCGAATATGCGACGTGCATTTGTAATACAGTATGTCGTAGTCTATTTTCTGTTGTAGGCCAAGTGTGCCTTCAGTTCGGAGAAAACATGTCAAGTATTTACTCATTTTCTAATATTCCATGTTGTCTCAAATTGGGTTTGGTTTAAGAAGGATCAGTTCTGCTACAGTAATCTGATTCGGTTCGAAGGGGTTCAGCTAGTTTGCGTCTGTTGAGCTCGAAGAGCATTTGGATACATTGGCTTGGTTCGGGCGACACCTGTCTACTATTGCGGAAAGCTGTTGCTGATAGAAGTACTGTACAATACTGTATTTAACATTTACTAGTCAAGGATAGCTTTTATTAGCCAAATATCGCGAAGTTGTATCTAGAATTAATTTCCGAATTCAGCAGCAGAACCTTCAGTAGCACGATTTTGCATTTACCAGGCTCACACTGCGTGCAAAATTTTTCGAACATTTTTTTGAAACGAAAATACTGTATTTATTCTAGTATTCGAACAATTTCCTTTCTATGATCTGTACCGCGTGGAATGTGAGTGCTTCTTTAGTGCAACTAGCGATTGCCGTTTTTTTTTTTTTTTTAGTCTTCCTGATGTAAAAGTCCAAATGGTTATTTAAAAATGAATTGCTTCCCGTGTATCAAGCTTTTGTCAAGAAATATTTTGCTATGATGGCCATTAGTTATGCAGTAGAAATGTCCTTCGTCAAATATGTGTCTGGCGTGACAAGGACTGCCGAATGGTTGATGGGAGATCGAAAGATACTGATCCGTTTTGTTTTTAATGTTTTCGGTACCAATTCCCGTATTTCTTCCGTGTTCCCTGACTCATTCCTTGATATTTGAATGTGCACGTGTTGTGTCCTTCACTCGGTAGATTTTTGACAGCCTCTTTTCTTTTTTTTCTTTTTTGCACAGTGGAGTTGGCGACGATCATGGACAGACTGTATGGCGGGGTTTGCTACGCCGGGATTGACACGGATCCGGAACTGAAGTATCCCAAGGGAGCCGGGCGAGTGGCCTTCTCCAACCAGCAGTCGTACATCGCTGCCATTTCTGCTCGTTTTGTGCAACTTCAGCACGGAGACATCGACAAGCGCGTGCGTATTATTATTCGTATTATTAAAGAATACCTATCTTTGTTTTGTTTTTCATCGAATCCCGCGACCTTGCTTCCGTCTTGTTGAACGCGTGTCGCTTAGATCAGTCGGACAGGAGTAGTTCTCCGCGTTAACCTGATTCTACATTTGTCCGAACGTCTGTTAGTTACACCCGTGATTAATGGGAGGATTAAAATTGGACTAAGCTAAATTTCTGGAAATACTTTGGTACGACTGATTTGACCGAAATTCATTTAAATGCTTCTACTTTGATGCCGACTTTTCCGTTATGTTTGTTTGAATACGGATCTTGGTAAATCCAGTTTAGCTCAGGTTGAGGTCGCCCCGTCTTTTTGGCGTCGTATTTTAAAAGTTTTCATAACTCAATATTTTTGCGGGCCAATTTCGCCTCGATGAATATTAACGAATAAGAATTACATTACTGTATAAACAAAAATGGGATGTACCTGTTATGCAATGCATTAAAAATGCTGTTCCGAAAATTCAGATGGCTTGGTGCATATTAAAACGCTGACTCTAGTCGTTCGTCAAATTCAAATGCAATATGGTCCCGAGATGCGGACGTAATTGGGGCTTGGACCTTGTCTCTGTGTGTGAGCGTCCGCATGTTGGATCAATTTTTCCCATAGACTCTATTGCCAACATATATAATCGGTTTTTCTGTTTTTAAAAGAAAGTCCACCAAAAATGTATTAAACATTTTTTTCCTCAACTTCAAGACGCAGAAAAAGATTGTACCGAGAAAAACCATACGAAATCTGAGCTTTTAGCATCAGAAGGAGGGACAAGTCTTGCTTTACTTTTTGCTCAGATGATGCAAAAAATCTGGAAAAAGAAGCTGACTCTGAAGAACCGTGTTTTTTTTATATGAATTAGAACATAACATGCGGCATTGGGATTTGTTTTTTGTTGTGAATTATAGATAGCTCGATTTATTCCAGGAGGTATCAAAATTTCGAAAAATGACATTTTTCAATAAATGTAAGTTTTTATATCTCGAGAAATTGTCCAGATGTCGGGGCAGATTTTTTTAGTATAAACTTTTTAGTGTCCGGAATTGGAATCATCCGTATCTCGGGGTCTCAATGTAGATGAGACGAAAGCCCTCTGTTACTTTTCTTGGAGAGGGAATTTTCACCCGTTCCCTAGTTGAAAATGGCTTCTCGTCCGGATCAATGATCTTGTCCATCGCAGCGCGAAAAATTCGCGCGCATGTGTGTAACGGTATGCGGTTGTTCAGGATGATGATGATTTTCTTTTTTTTTCTTGCCCTTTATGTAAAAATGCAGGTGGAGGTGAAGCCTTACGTTCTGGACGACCAGATGTGCGACGAGTGCGGTGGGCAGCGTTGCGGCGGCAAGTTTGCTCCGTTCTTCTGCGCCAACGTGACTTGCCTGCAGTACTATTGCGACTCTTGCTGGCTGACTATTCACTCGCGTCCGGGACGAGAGTACCACAAGCCGCTTGTCAAGGAGGGCGCCGACCGCCCTCGCACGCTTTCGTCCTACCACCACCGTTGGTGCTAACCACCGGCTCTGCGTCTAGGAGTCACTCTTGATGCTGCTGCTGCTGCTGCTATTGCTGCTACCACTGCTGCGGAAGAAAAAAGGAAGAAGAAGAAAACAAAAATAACATGCGTGTGTTGTTCTTTTTTCTTTTGCCGCTGTTTCCTTCTTCTTCTTCGTCGTCGCTTTCATGTTTCTTCTTCTTTTCTTTTTATCGTCTGCTTAGTTTTCGAGAGTCCCAGCGAAGGCATAGGGTTCTTCCTTTCGCGTCATGCTGTTGTTGTGGTCCATCGGTCGGTTGGTTGGTCGATCGATCGGTCGGTCGGTCGGTCGCTACTACTGTTGGATTTTCTTCTGATTTGTTTCCTCCAACTCTTGCTTTCGCTGGGCTGGAAAGAAAAATACTTGTAGGGGCGGAAAATTGTAGGCGTGCTGGTGATGGGAGGAAAGAGGGGAAGGGGAAAAGCTGTTGTCGTCGTCGTCGATGGACACACATTTTTTTTGAAGGGAAGAAAACAAACGGGAGACCATGAAGGGAGGACGAAGTGGTGGGAGGAGGAGGAGAAAAGAGCAAACGGGAATTGGACAGTTACAGTTAGCGGAAAGGAAACAAACGGGAAGAGACGAGTTCGGTTAAATTTTAAATTTTTTTTTTCAGTGTTGTGTATGAGGTAGAGAGGGTGAAAGTGAGTTTGTGCTTCGTATACCGGAAATTTTACTTTGATTGGTGGATTTAGTTTGTGCCTTTCGTACTTTTTTCTCACGGGGACCGTGTTCTGATTTTTTTGACAAGGTTTTTTTTTTCTCAAGATTTTTGTTTGTTGGGGTTTTTAGAATGCAGTTATTTTGAGAAGAAATGAAGTGCGCGTTGTTTTTCGTTGACTCGATGGTTAGTTTCTGGCTTGTTTTTTTCTTTGTTTCGTGATAGTAACCCGGAGTTGTGGGTTTTCATTTTTTTGAGATGGACGGGATCTTCGTCGCGGTGCGAAAATTTTATGTTGGATTGTGATGGTTACATTACTTTCTCGAGTGACCCTTCTAAGACTCGAAACTTTCTGAGAATGGAAAAACATGAAAAACTTAGAAGAGGAAGAAGACAAAGTAGGTGTTTTTTTGTGTCGCGATGTTGAATATGCCCGTAGACGTGGTTTTCATTTTATGGAAAAAAGTTTTTGAGCACTGGGTCCTCCTAGTCACAAAGCCGAAGGATTTTTTTGTACCCGAAATTTTTTTGAAGCATATTTTCAGGGGGAATGGGAGAAGAAAAGTTAGAGCCAAGTCGGTCCCTATTTTTTTGTTCGGATTTTTTTTAGACTTGAAGAAAACAAATTTTTGTGCTTGTGCGTTGCCGGTTTTTTTTTTCATTCGTTCCTCGTGATTTTTTTCTTTGTCTTTTGTTTTTGCCACTAAGATCGTGTAAGAGTGAGTGTGAGTGAGAATCGTTAGTTCTAACGCGTGGGGTTTTTTTTTTGGCGGTTTACAGTCGGGAGGTCGGCGTTGTATGATAACGCAGCTTTGTTTTTTTTTCTTTTCGGAAAATTTTTTTCCCTCGTCGAAAATGTTATCCAGGATTTTACCTCGTATCCACGGAAATTTACATGGGAATCGAGGAACGTGTAGAATTCTTCATTGGCGAGTTTGTTGCGGAGGGTTTTTTGCGATTTGCTGTGGGCACCTCATACACTTGCCGGCTCCCGCGAGGAGGAGTTCGTTTCGGTTATTTTTTGCGCAGCGGGGGGTTTTTTCACCGGTTTTGCTAATTTTTTGCGCCTCCCCGGGGGGAAGAAAAGAGTGTGGGCGAGATGTAGTGTGTACTAGCCGAGAGCGGAGTTTTTTCGATGTGCATTGATGGTTATTAGTAATACTCGAGGCGAGTGTGAAGCATATATTACGGCGTGGTTTGTTCCCCCCCTTAAAAGAAAAGGTTTTATCCCGGGCCCCCTGGCATACGCATATTTGCAAATAAGGGTATTTATGTCTTCGCGGAAGATGCTCTTCACATCGGCCACGTGGTTTTTCTTTTGTCTCCCTCCCTCATTGGGGGTGAACAGGGAAACGGCTCGTTTGCACTTTTTTGCGAAATCGTCTTTTTCCACGTTTTTTCGGAACAGGTTTTTTCCGCCTTGTCTCACGTTTTAACGGGCTATTACGGATTAAACAAAAAAAAAGAAGGGGGAAAACATTTACGCAATTCTTCCGCGTACGTTGTTTCATGGGTCGGCCGCAAAACAAAACAAAAAAATCGTTCGTGAAAACCCCCTTCGTTTTTCGAAAAAGGGCGGTTTTTTCCGGTTTGTAAAACGTTTCCTTTCTCCGTTCCGAGCATTTTTTGGGGCAGATCACCGATTTTTGAAAAAACTTCAAGCTTTTAAGCTATATGCGGTTCTCTTCCCCGCGTTTTTGTTTCTTTTTCGCGGGTGTGGTTCCATCTTTTACGGATTGTAACCCAGGGAGGATGAAAATGTCTGCCTAATGATGATCGGGATGGAGGAACGAACGCACGGAAGGAAGGAAGAAGAACCAGGGGCTTTTTTCTAATAAATTAAATGCGTCGACCGACGAAAGAAAGAAAGCGTTCTTCGGCACTTTGCGTCTCTGGGTTCGCCTCTTTGTTTTCGTTGATCTTTTTTTATTTGACAGGAGTCGCTTGTTCTTGGGAAATTGGAACCCCAGCTTTTTCTACGTTTAACTTCACGAGGAAAAAATTCGGAAAGGAAAGGGAAAAAGAAGGAAAAGATGCGTTGGTTCATTGATAGGATTTGGATTTTTTGGATTGCCTTTTTTATTTTTTGTGGCTTTCACACCGCGGAAAAATTTTGGGGTTCCCCGGTTTTGGTAATGGGGAAGTTTTTCATAGTTCTATTTTGTTGTGTTATCAGAACGTTTTTATGTTTCTTACATAAAGTGAAAAAACCACGGTTTCATTATTTCGAGAAAAGAAGTTGATGTGCGGCAAAGAATGAAGAAGTTTACCCTGGAAAAACTTACACGAATTCCTGTGTCCCGTTCATTTCGTCGGCCGTGAACTTGGCATATTTTGCTAGCAGCTTGTCCGGCTCTTCGGAGATTTTTCGCTGGCGCGGTTGCTCATCGTTCCGTTGTGGACTCCCCGACTTGCGACGGATGATGCGTTTTCCTTTTTGCCGATTATTTTTATCTTCTCCTGGAGTTCCACATGCGCCGAAATATAGCGAAATGTGTGAGAAAAAGAGCATTCTTGCCCGCTGGTCACTTCATTAATTCCACTCTTTGCGCCGCATCTTAGATTAATAGATAGATGGCTCCCTGTCATCCTGCACGGAATTTTCGATACTTTCATTTTGAAGAAATTCTTGGAAGATTTCGGAAGTGTTGCTGTACACAGGAGAGTGAGGCATTACTGTTGCGTTTGTTCCTTCTGAAAACCACGACGACGACTTCTCGCTGTTCCGTATTAATGGACCCACGATCTTCGCAGAAGATTGAATTTTCTAGCTTGATCTTTATGTAACCGCTTTTTTCTGACCACTGACTTTCCTGATGGGAGGTGAATGAGTCCGAAACAGTTCGCGTCAAATGCACGCGAAAGTTTCCATCTCTGGGTATCTCGTTCCTTGCGACATCTACTGTAAAAATGAATCATGTATCCGCTAGACTCTCACATCCGTATCTCAGAGGATACATCCACGCCTTCATCTTTTTGGGGCGACGAAAATTTTTGTTATTATGTTGCGTCAATGCTGCAGTCGTTAGTTTCGAAGTTGAAAATTTACGACCTCTTACTGTATATAGGCCATTGCTGATGCATGCTGGTTACTTAAACCAGAATAGCTTGAATTCCCTTGGAACTTTTTTTTTCCTGATCACAAGTAAGAAAGGATATCCAGCAGCAGCATCAAGCATGCATCGTCATATACAGCAGTACAGTGCTACACCACACACCCAGGAAACTGAAATCGGATTCGAAATTCCATTCACTTGGAAAACAAAGATGTGTTTCGAATGGAAATTTCTCTTTGGATCACCTAATAATAACTTGAAGTAGCGTAACGCATCCTAACACGACCTTAACTTCCCTTCTTACATGTCCTACCGAAACTTATCGTCTGTCCTGAGCTAAACTTGACCAGCATAACCTTAACTGAACTTAACGTGCCTGGTTTTATTCTAATTATAGATAATGAAACCCCAACTCGAAGATGGGACACTGGTTTTACAGCAGGGCACACACAAATCACGAACGTTGTTGGTGACGAGAGGGACATCTATGCGTGTTATTGCAATGTACTACGCGCCGTGTGCTGGCATCTGCCGTGTTTACCTGAAAACTGCGCGGCGGGGCTGGGTGTCAGGATGGAAATGTTTCCGTTGATTTTGCCTCGGACACACTTTCCCCGACGAGTTAGTGACGCGAACCACGCTTCTTCTCGTGACACCCGAATGCAACTTGGTGAAAAAATGTTCATGGCGTATGGTTTTCATTTTACTTTTAGAGTTCATCTTGTGGTGAAAATCTGATTTTATAGAGAACTCACGTTCGTCCTATGAAGTTTACCTGCGAAGATCGCTGGTAAAAGGATACTCTCGACGTGGTCGAGATGGACGTGGCGAGCGCTCCTGAGAAGGATGCTTCGGATGTCGCACACGTGCCACAAACGGATAGCAAGGTATCATCTCCTGCTGGAAATGTGCCATCCAAGACAGACAATCATGAAACGACGGAGAAATCCGTCGGCACAGATACGATTGACGTTCCAACGGAATGCCCTCCGTTAGAAAATGGTCTTCTGAAGACAGAAGCTTCATTGACGACCGTCGATTTGACGGTCAAGTGTTCAAGTCTCGCAACTGAAACCTGCAATGCTACAGTTGTGAAGGAGGATGACGACGATATCATTGTAGAACAAGTCGTTCATCGAGCCGCGAATGCGGGTTCCCCGACAAAGCCTTTGAATCTGTCGAAGAAACGTCCGCTCCCCGAATTGAATGAAATTCAATTCAAACCCTCTAAAACACCACCACCTCCACCGCTCGTGAAAGTCTCAAAGCCATCGTCGAAAGACTCATTTTGCGACGATGTAAATCTAAGCGACAATGATTGCATTGTTGAAGCCGCATCGTTCGTTGTCCCTTACCTTTATCAGAAGAATAAGTTGAGCAAAATCCCTGAACTTTGGAAAGAGTTGCGAAGTCAAGCAGGAGTAAGTTGCTCGGATGAAGAGAATCAATCTGCAGACGCTAGCAAAGAAGAGCCCGCTGAGAAAGAAGGAGTGGAGAATACCTACTTCGACGAACCAATCGGCTCATTTCTCGTCGAGATCGGTGCTAGTTTGGTTCAGGAGTTCGTGGATTTTGATCATCTGAGGCTTCAGAAGAGGCGGCTGGAAAAAGACGGCGGACCGAATGCCCCAGCTGCGGCTCATGAGGTGATAAAAGTGATGACTGAAAGCTTGGAGAACATTAAAGGGAAGAACATCCACCTAAAATTGGACAACAATCGTTGCAAATCGTGCAACTTCCGTTCAACTTCGACTACTGTGATGGCGTGGCACGACGAAGTTCCGCATGCAGGATACGGAAATCTTTTGCGATGCAACTTTTGTTCCTTCGCGTCGCGGAACGTTCTCGAAACGCAAGATCACTTCCGAATCACTCACAAACGCTCTTTCCGTCAAGATAAGCCTGAAGCGAAGTTCCAGTGTTCTTATTGTCCGTGGGAAGACAAGCATAAGCCGCGGTTCAAACGTCATCTGGAGCTCTGCGAAAAGAAGTTCATCGCCGAGAGGAATTGCGAAATCAACGCCGAATGGGAGCCAGCCGGAAAGCTTCCGGTCCCCCCGCCTCTGAAACCCACTCCGACGACCATATCCCGAAATTCGTTGTCATCTTCAAATTCAGCAGCAGCTCAAGCCAGAAGCACTTACCAGTTTCATCCGTTAATGCCAAAAGAGCATGTGAAATTCGCGAATTCATACATCGCAGCCACCTCAAAGCCGACGCGGGCTCCTAAGCCCATAATTAATCAAGGAAACCCTCAGCAAGGTAAGCAATCCTCGTCGTGGTTGTCAGTATCTGAACAATAACTAAAATTTCTGTATTTTAGGCCATGGTCGACTTGGAAGCATCCCTACCCCTATGATGGCTGCCAACCAGGTAAGCCGCAAGCTGAGTTGTCCAATTAAGTACTGTATATGTCTCTTTTTTAAACCGTCCCTTGAGTTGAATTCACTTCACGAACGTTTAATGGTACTGTAGTGAAATAGTATGTCCTTGTTCACGAGATGACTTGTGTTTTGAGGAATTCATAAACCCGTCGTATACCTTAATTCCTTTCATATTCGTCCCCCTCCTGAAAAAGCCTCCATGGATTCAATTTGCAATAAAAATCGCGTGGAGAAGAAAATTAAAGAAAAAATCGTGGAAAAGCGTTAAAATAAGCATGCTCACGTCTGAAATCTTCCCAGGATTGTCGGAAAAGTTAGCTCGCCATTTGCAATGCTTATGTCAAGGTGATTAAAAAAGAGAAGTGTATGATTTATTCACTTACTTTTAAGTAGTAACGCTTAATCAAAATTGTCACTGTTTGTGTCTGTGAGACTTCGGTGCTGTACTAGCCGTAAAGATAGTAAGTTGCAAATTTTCATTTTCAACCATTGCAAGCTGTATAGTATTGTACTTTCTTTTGACATTCTCCTTGGAACATTTAAACTCGCGAGGAATTTTCAAGATTTGCGGGTGATTGTTTTTGTTTTTTTTCCTCTGCAGCCTGTACCACAGAGACCAGCTTCGTCTTTGACAAAAGGGAGTAAGCCCGTCATTGAATCGAACTACTCGCGAATTCTATGGTCTCAGCAACTTCAGCAGCAAAATGTGTCGTGGCTCAACAGTCTTCAAACGAACGGACAGGTAGCATTCCCTCTTTTTCCTGAATCGTGTCTCACCTTGCCTCCTGAAGTGTCAGCAGGAGTTGCCTAAATTAGTGATATTAGTCAAGCACCTTTGTTTAACGTGGTCCAAACTAACCCTATACTAATTTTTTAGTATTGGACTAATTTGCTTAGAAACTTGAGTAACTTCGATCTGGTGAAATAGTAATGAAAAGCAGAGAAAATCATGGATTTGGGGACATCCGGTGCTGAATTAAAAATATCATGGCTTTTTTTTCGAGCTTTCTGAAATGGTGTTCTCTTAAATGGTGTAATTGAATCCAAACTGTTCCTCCGTTGTTCTCTGAAATTTTGCTGGAGATATCTTGTTGATCAAATTTTTGGGCCAGTTCTCTCCGAACCACGTGCGTTGTTGCAATTTTCATGAGTGAGGATTCGAAAATAACCTCAACTTCAGCGTGATAAGTTGATTTCACATAATGTTGTCGCATTATTTTGATGCTGATTGTGTTTGGCAGGGAGTGGCAATGGCAGGTGGAACGTCGATCTCTTTGGTGCCATCCGGCGGCGGTGGTAGCAACAAAAAGTCTTTATTCCCGTCATCCTCCGTCACGATTCGACCAATCCCTGGAAGTACTCCAGAAGCTGATCCCGGACTATCTAGTTCCTCTTCGAAGAATTCGCCGCAGATTAATTTCCCCTTCACGCTGCCGTCGTCTTTATCTATTCAGGTATGTGAATCCTTGAAGATTTCGAGAGTTAGATTTTCACTGTACCTGTCATTATCCTTTCACGACGTGTGTTTAGTCGTTGAAATCGAGTGCGGGTTCAGGAGGAAAGGTTTCCTCGAAGCAGACTCCGAAGGGGGCGGAACTAAGTCGTGCTGGTCCATCTCCATCGGTGTCGATTACGCCGCTTCCGAACTCTGGCGGCCCGAAACGACCACAAACTTCAGCGGGATCATCTACGAATAAGAGGACTGCAGGCGCAGCTCCTGGCAAATTCCGAGCCGGTGCAGATGGACGAACAAATGTTCAGGGCGCTGATTCGTTTGTCGTCTGTGAAATTTGCGACGGGTACATTAAGGTAAGATTGAAGTTGGACTCTATTTGGTTTCAATGTACGCTTCTGTTCGGTTTTTTTTTTCTTCGTGTTGTCATCGTGGGATCCATGCTATCTCGATGCTGCGAAATTAGTCAGTGATAACCTTGCAGTAACCTTGCCTAACGAACAACCCGTCCTTGAAAACACCAAGTTAATACACGTATAGAAAATACCTCGCCAAAGGAACTGTGTCTCGCCTAGTGAACGTTTGAAGAACTTTCTGTGAACCTCCCGCTGCTTCGAAATATTCTCAAGTTTACCTTCCCTCCGTTGCCGCTCAATTCATTTACTTCTTTTAATTGATGGAAAAAATGTTAGTTCAGTTAAGTCGTAAAATCTTCGGGCGCAATTTATAGTGAATTACGTAGGTTCTGTTTCGTTAACAGGCTTCTTTAAAGCTTCGGTGTATTTTTTCAAATGGCTCATTTATTAGTCTTAATTTTTTTTTATTCATCGCTGAATTATAAACGCATTGTGAGCTCTTTGTTGATATCGTGTGTGGTGTAAACATGTTCGCTGCTTTGTTGGCAAGTGGCTCAGTGTTTTTGGCTGAAGAAGAGTGCGGTGATGAAAAATTACCGTAATAGCACTAAGGGTTTTTTTCGAAGACTGGCAGCCTTGTCCCTTTATTTGTGATTTCCCCTGTGTCGAACCGTCGTTGGAAAATTTTTTGTCTCCCCCTGATGAGATTACGACGTGAATAACATTTAATTCTTGTTTTTCTCTTATTTCGCAGGACTTGGAACAGCTTGGCAATCATTTGAAATGGATTCACAAAGTTTCCTTGCATCCGCGATTACTTCAAAGTCGTCCCCCGTTGAACTGCCAGAAATGTCAGTTCCGGTTCTTCACGGACCAAGGATTAGAGCGACATCTTCTTGGCACTCACGGCCTCGTCACGTCGTCGATGCAAGACGCTGCCAATAAAAATCAGGACTCGGGTCGCTGTCCGATCTGTGGAAAGGTTTGTTGATCAAGTCCAATTTTTCGTTATTTATCGCTTCAACGTCCGATCTGGTACTGTATGTCGGACAGGAGTCTACCGTTCCGCTAATCAGGCCAAGATTTTTCACGAGGATGAAGATCTCGAAATATTTTACCGTAACCGCACAGGTGTTTCATACCCGCGTTTCTGTTCGAATTTCTCACTTCTTTGATCAGCACTGTATTTTGAGGAAAAGTAGGACGAATGGCATGATCGGATCGGTGCTGAACCGAAAGGATTGTTTGGATCATCTTTCCCCGTATGATTCAGCTGTCATGAATCATGAAAGAGAAGCAAAAGTGCTTTAGAACTCAACTCATGACAATAATTTTTCTATTCATGTGGGACTAGGAAGTTCGTGATCTTTTGAACTACATCCGCAAGATTTTCAAGTGAAAAATGTGCACGGGTGTGAAGCACCCCGAAATTGGAAAAACTCGGCGAAGTTCCGCGACACTTATACATTGAAATTTCGTTACAGCGAAGCAAGCGGGACCGTTAAAATAGCGTAGTTGGGAGGAAAAAATAATTTAGAAATTATGGTACCTCATTTAAAATTGTGACTATTGAAAAGGTACATAAAAAATGACTTCGTTGTTCGCGATTATTCGTTATAACGAGATGCCGTTGTACGGTCGAATGTCTTCATGTCATACGTCAAGGGACCAGCCAAAAATTCGAGTTAAGGGAACCAGCGTTTCTGTTGGGGAAAAGAAAGAAGAATTACGAAAATTTGTAATCCCTGATATTCTAGGAGGGCTTCTTGAATGATTTGACGGGATGCTGGAATTGAGGGCAGAAGTTTATTTCCCCAATAAGTCTTTTACTTCCTTGCAAAATATCAAATTAGAGTGCTGTGTTATTGCTTTTATCTTTCCTGTGTCAATAAAATTTATTGCCGAAAGGCCTCGAGGAACTTTCAGATATGGAGGCCTGAGTTGGAAAGGCTTCAAGTTGGTTAGGTTTTCAATACTGTACATTGTTCCGGCGGGGACTTGAAAAAAGAAATTCGAGTTGGAAAGGTTCGAGTTATCGAGGTTTCATTTTAAAGATGAAGTCCAGTGTCATGGGTTACAAATGTTTTCTTTGTCTGCAGATGTACCAGTGGAAGCTTCTGGCGCACGTTTCCAAGGACCACAAGAAGAATTTGAAGCCGGCGCATTTGTCGTACAAGTGCACGGTATGCACGGCAACGTTCTCCATGTACGGCCAATTCGAGCAGCACGTGTACAATGAGCACTCGTCTCTTGCCAAGAAACAAGCCGCTGCGAGCAAAGCTCAACAAAAGGACGCTGCGGAGACGCCAGCCGTCAGCGAACCCCCAGCGAGCAAAGTGCCATTGCCCGTGCACATCTCGGATGAGATCACCATCATACCGCAGCCCAGGGCCGGGGTTGCTTCTTCGAGCGCCACCACTGGGCAAGAACGGGGTGCGAGTGGGCGGAAAGCGAAATTAATGACGCCGGTGAAGCGGCAGAGGCCGAGTGAAGTTCCGCAATTGCCTGAGCTTAAGCGGTTGAAAAATTGACAAATGCTAGGTTTTGGAGTTGAAGAATAGGTTTGGGCCATGACTCTTCCCCCACGCTTCCACCAGCGTCTCGTCCAAATGATGCGTGTACCTGTCCCATCTGTTTGTGTAGTTGTGAGAAATGATGCCGGCTTCCCTCGAGCAATAATTAATATTTCAGGGAATTTAGCTGAGGTGTGATTTATCCGGGTTGTGTGATTCTTCTTCCCACGGACTCCTTCTCCACGCTCGTATTTCTCTTCCAAATTAAGAAGCTTGATCATGTCTAGCAAAATTAAATTGCTCTTTAATCCAAAAGCTGCACTTCTTATCCTAGACACCAAGTTTTTCATCTCCTTATCCAGGGCTGCAAGTGCTACGTATATCAATGCTGTTTCTCTTAAACATGTTCATTCAAGCCAAAAAATATTGTATGTTGAAGCTCTTCAAAAAGGGGTAAAGCTATCATGGAGAATATTTGAAGTAAGGCCGAGAAAAATTGGCCATGTGACTATTTATTACAATAATTTAAATGTCTTCGTGTAAATTTGAAACGCACGGTGAAGTCATAATCATTGATTAGTAGACTTGAATGCTTCTGAGAGTCTAGTGTGATAGATGGAAATTTCTATTGATTGCTTGCTGTCGTAGAGTCAAAGAGATGAGCTTTTAAGATACTGTACCACCATTTATTTTTCGTGTTTGGCTTTTGGTCTTTTCTATCTGCAGATGCTCATGTTGAGAAAATAATGTTTTGAAAATACTGTAACAATTCATGAAAGAGGATAGAAACCTACTTACCAATCTTTTGCGACTAGAGTAGTTAATTTGAATCTTGATTGACCTTTTTTTACATTGCCCTTTAAATTTCCTCTCACGAGAAACGGTTCAAAAATAAAGGATGGTGCATTTCTCTTGGCTTTTCAAATCAAACTTTCGCCGATGGAGAAAATTCGTTAGGAAATTGAGTCATAACGCCTTCGATTAGTTTTTTTTTGGCACGGATCGTCCCACCTCGTACAATTACCATTATTTGTTGGAGAGGTTTCCGCTTTTGTGTTACGGCCAAGTCTACGGTAGTCATGGTCATTTTTGATGCTGTGACCTGGTATTGTGAACAAAGTCGCCCGGTATCTCTCGGTGTCGTGTTCTTCAAAAAACAAAAAACAACGAAATGTGTCAACAAAAAGGTAGGGGGAGGATTTATATTGAAGGACCTGGTGGAAGCGTGGAGATGAGTTATGTCCCGTTTGTTTTTATTTCCTTTTGATGTTATAGCTGTGATCTTGGGCACATCTGTCTCCCCGTGTTTTCCCTTCCCCACTTTGCATTTCGTCATGTGTTCGTGGAGTTCGTTCTTTTTTTTCTACGAAATGAGAGAGAAGTTTTATCGGTTTGTTGGGGGGGAGAGATCGAGGCGTAACTTCGTGGGGCAGTATGATAACCGGTTACGCGTGGCGTCTCGTTTCTTTGATTTCGATTTATCGTTGACAATAATCTTTTTTTCTCTCGTGTGGGACGGAATAGAATTGCTGGTACTTTTCCATTGAAGTGATGACACTTAAGCGTTGTTTTAATCGGTGAACTGGGTTCCGAGGGTGAGTTTACTTGAAATCATGATTTCGTTTGTCTTTTCAGTAGAAGCAGTGAAATGTGACGGTGATGTAGTGATATCTTCGATTCCGCGGATGAGCCTTGAATAATGTTATTCTCGGCTTTTTGGGTTCATGTCTGCAGTAGGACAAATTTTGAATGAGAGCGGTTATTGAATTTTATCTCGAATATTTCTTGTGATCAAATACTGTGATGTCTTGAACAGACGGACAATTGGTCTTGGATCCTTTTCTCCCGTTTGAATTCAACTTCATATGGTTTGCAATTTTGGGAAGTCCAAGAATGTCGCGATTATTTCATGCATGATGTACGCGTATTCCGAGTGCTGATCTAATGACGTTGTGGTCATCGGTGCGATCCATTCGGTTCGATCATATTCATAATCGCATTTCATGAATCGATCAGAAATTATCTTCTATACCAAATCGATACTATTTTATTCCTGTTGCCAGTTTTTAGACAGAAATTCTGCAGGTATTTTTGAAGCTGTAAACCTACGAGGCACTCAAAGTCATTCAAGCATGAATAAGGAATAAAGTTCATCATAAAAAGGCTACGCGTTTCCCCGTGAATAACGGTCTTTTAACTAGCACAAGCTCTTTTTTCTGATACTACTCGAAGTATCATCACTAATCCAAAAATAAGCCCTGGTCGCTTTCCTGAAATGTTTTACAAATAAAATGCGTTTTTTTCCCTGCTGATTTTTTTAAATGCAGCCAAAATCAATTCCTCTTCATTGCAATCCTCTAAAATATTGCATTTTTTTCTTTTCTGGAAATCTATGCATTATGTACATGTCTTACGTGGGATCTAAGTTTTTTGATCCATTTTGAAATTTTTGTATGCATAATGCTTGAATCGCAGGATAAAAATGTCATAAAGCTACAATTGTTAAAAATTCCTAAAATGTTAAGAAAATTATATTGCTTTCTATTATGCTTGGATTTGTTCTGTATTTCCAATTTATAAATCAAAAATTGAAGTTTCTATTTTTTTTGGATTATAATTCAGGCAAACTCTCTCTCTACAACCAAATTCAAGGGACCGAAAAAATTGTTGTAGAGGGAACTTTGTTCTGGAGAACAAAGTTTTAGACAAGATTGATGCGAGTCCACTCTTAAAGTATAATATTGTTCCATTGAATCTCAGAACGAAGAAGCTTACAAAAAAATCAGTTTTACAAAAAGTCAGTTTTTTGTACAAAATCCACAAAAAACTCAGTTTTTTTTTATACAAAAAACTGTAGCTTTTTTTTTGTAACCCGTCGAAATTTTCATTTGAAGTGGTCTGAGCATCTTTTCAATATAATGGGATGAACTGGAAATGGTCTACGCTGTCAAAATGGTTCGAATTCAATGATTATGCTCGTGGGCGTAATTCCGTAAGAGTTTTTAAAGTTTTTCCGCTTTCTGAAACTTTGAAGAACAGTGAAACCTTTCGGGAAAGGAAAATTAGGTTGATCCTCGTCCATGATTCTGATTTCAGTGTTTTACAATTTAAAGCTTTACTTGCCATACTAAGCGAAGAACGAAAAAATCCCTTACTTGGGGCAATGCGTGACATTCAGGGATGTCTTTTCTTCCTGAAATATAGTGAAATAACGGAACATTTCATACCACTAGTGGAATAATTATCCGTTCAATTCTTGTCGAAATTTTTTTTTATACCCCGACCGAAGTTTGCGACTATGAATGATGGAAGAAGAACATGTCCGCGACGGTATCACTCGTACCCCTTTCCACTATTCGGATTATTACAATTTTCTGCAAGGTTTTGGTGCGTTCAGATTTCTACGAAAAAGCAATATAAATATCCCTTCATCTCCCTGTAGGAACACTGGTTTGTGTTCGTTTGATATTCAGGGAGTGCTCTTTCAAATTCAAGAAAAAAAGGTCATTCCTTTACATGCTTCTTTCTTGGATGAAGAGCGCTTACGGTTCTGTACAAATTTAATCATAATTTATTCATCAATTTTCTGGCGCTCTTCATCCAAGAATCGGTAAAAAATATTTCTCGTCTTTGAAGAATCTTTCGTTAACTGTGAAAAAATAATCCCAAATTGATGAACCAATTTCGTGTTGTTGCAACTCTCAACTGCGTCGCGTATTTCAATTTTTGAACAAAAAAATCGATTATTGCTTCCTAAATTCGCAACGTTCGTAATTTCAGCATCACAAAAAATGAAATTCCTTGTTGTGTCTTGTACTCACCGAGTTAAAAGGTTCTCCATTCTTCTCTTTTTTTCAGAATCTTTTCGCAGTTTTCAGAAAAAGTCACTCAAATTCCACGGATCACGTTAGATTTTCGTCTTCCGAGTCGAACAAGTCATGCCAAAGCCATCGTCGAAGAGGAAGTCCAAGCAGCAGTCGGATTCTGATTCAGATAGTGGTCCAGATGACGTGAGTTTAATGCCTGTATTTTGATCCCAGCGGATTTAAAACGTTTAAAAAAATCTTTTTGTTGTATTGCAGAGAAATGTGAAGAAATCGAAGAATGAAGGGTCGTCCGTGGATCGTGATGACGAGGGAAATCCTCGTTGGATGTTGGAGAACAAACGTTTCATCACTGTGCGTCCATTCAAAGGGAAGGTGTACATTGACATCAGGGAATTTTACGAAGCAAACGGAGAGCTTAAACCCGGCAAGAAAGGCAAGTTGAATCCGCGAGTTCAATAAATTTTTCGTCAACTTGTAAGATTGTTCTTCCGGACGTTTGCGAGAGTCTCATCAATATACATTGAATGATCAGTGTCAACTTATTTCGAAGACTGTCCATGTACTCCGCGACATTTCTCAGTAAGTTACGAGTTACTCGAAATCCTCACCCTTCAAGTTGCAATGGAGAGTGAATTTGAAAATCACTCGAATGGACATGAAGCCTTTTTAGTTTCTTACTCTGCATAACGAAAAATCAGCGTGACGAACATTTTAAGGGGAGAACCTCACTCATATTACGAAATCATTTCACGTGAAACAAATTTGTTTGCCCCAAAACTGCGCAAATTTTGAACTGAAACTTGAGAATTATCCAAAAATGAAAAATTAATTGATGAAAAGGAAGAGCGTGGTTTTACATCTGCTTGTCTTCACAATTCCAGAAATTCAGACAGATATTAACAAGATTGGTCAGGATTACCTGCGTAATAATATTGAATTCACAATTTCATGCCGAGAAGTACACCAATTTTATTGTTTTTTGGGGTCTTCTGGGGATATTCTGAAACAAATTAAATGAATTACAATGTTATCTTGATGAAAAACGCCTTGCGCATAACGAGAAATTCGTCTTGACGAAACTCCTCCAGGAATGGACTGGTTTCGCGAGGACCCAATGAAATCCTGCTGCGAACCCAGAATATTTACTGATGCGCCCAACGATCGTTTTGAAAATTAATTTCTGTTTTCCGACTTTGTTTTTATTCTTCTAGGGATTGCGCTGACCCCAACTATGTGGCACTCTCTCAAGTCCAAGATGGACGAGATCGATGACGCTATCAAGCAGGCTGCCTGATATCCTGTCGTCGCTGGAATGATCTCAAGGGGTCTGAACTCTGATGTCGGTGAATTCTCTTCGTGTTTTTTGTATCACACAAATAAAAGCGAAGCCAGAAGAAAAATCAATACCGCTCGAGTTTTATCGTCATTTTTTCAGCCTTGAATCCGAGTGTTTCATTTATTCGAAAGACGCTTTTCCGAAGTCAGATCCTGGCATGATCCGAAATCCGGAGTAGCCTCGGATTTTCGGTAATCGTCAGCGAGCTTTTCGAGCGTCTTGCGAATCGCTGCGATCTTGTGAACTTCATCGTCTAATACACGCAGTCTCGCCGTTAGAGCCTCTGGAAGCAGGTAAACCTCTGCATTCGCCGTTCCCAAATCCATATTTCTCTCAAGTGTGGTTCCTGGAAGGTAATAGAACCTCCAAAGCGTTATGACGGAGAACACGACCGATGCAATCAAGAGTGTTGAACACGCGATCAAAAGTATGTGGATTTCGCTTCGTCTGCTGGGAACATGCCGAGAGGCTTTCGTTGATGAGAATTCGAGCGTTTTCTGAGTCAATGAGGATAGAGTTGAATCTTCCTGCGTGAATTCGTCGCGGGAAATGGCTCGTTCTGGTTTCTCTTCTCTCCAGTTATCGCGAACGTATCGAAACTTGAGTCCGTGGTTGGAGAGAACCGGTAATTCTTCGTCTTGCACGGATGCAGGTGTTGTTTGTTCTTTGTACAAGGTGAAGACTCTATTCATCACTTGAAAGGCGTTTCTTCGCGACAGCAAAGACCCGAATATGAACCTGTAGAGATGCAGTCGATCTTCGTCAGGCGACCAGCAAAATTATGCTTGTTGGGGTATTACAAGCATTTTTGTTGGGGGGGAAAAGAATTCCAGGAAATTGTAATGAATGATATTCTAAGCCCTCTGTTGCTTCTTAAAATGATTCGACAGGATGCTGAATTTGGAGGTAAGGGTTCATTTGCACAATTGGTCTTTTATTTCCTTTCAAACTGGGTTAAGTTACATGTTCCTTGCTTTTCTATTTACTGTTTTTAATAAAATAATAGCCAAATTGTCTCCAGAGAACTTGAGTCAATGATATTTGAGGGGTTTGATTTAAAAGATTTTAAAGGGAATCCAGCAGACAGGAACGTTTCAAATTTTGACATATGGAGTTATATGACTTGGGGAGGTTTGAGTTACAGTATCAATTATCAACTGTATCCTTGTTTTTTATTAATTTTTAATATTACTTATAAAAGTTTTAATTGAAAGCGTAAATTACCACCAGTTTGTTTTCTTGCTTAAATGTGTTTTCAGCATTGATTTGTTATCTTATACAGGAAAAATCTTTCTCCAACTTTCATCAGAGCCTTTAAAAATTTGTCAGAAAAAACTAAATTCCGCATTTTTTTTAAATAAAAATTTGTCATCAACTTAGACGTTCAATTAACATGCGAGAATGTTGACAAGCAAATTGATAAACTTCCCCAACAGAATTAAGCTGAAAATTAAAGCAACAAAGCTTCCCCAGAAAAAGTTCTCCACCAGTCATTGATGTTGAAGTAATCGGATTATCTTTTGAGCAACATTTGTTTGCTTTTTCGTAAGTAAAAATTGCTCCCTGAAAAATGCAGGAAGAACTTTAGAGTAAAATTCCTAAATTGTAATAATAATAGTGAGTATAATAATGTAATGAATAAACCGCCCAAAATTGGAATTTTTGCAGCTGATCTTGAAATGTTATAACAATATTTGTGTAGCATTATTTTGATTGTATTTCTGATGAAGCCTTTGAACATTCTCAATATAATCATGTTGTAACAGAATTTCACTTACAATTCTTCCACTTCGGTCATCAACATAATTTACAGTCTGGCCATGGAAGTCATTGATGTTGAATAACAAATCCATTTGGATCGAGAAAAACCTTTAAGCATCAATATATTATGATGAAATATGTGTATACTGTAAATAACATTGTGGCTATTCGGTAGGAACTTAATCTACACGTTTATTGTAAGTAGGGCTAATTATTAATCAATGTTAGATGGTAATTATGACATATATTTTATACTACCGTATATAGCAGTGTAGTACAGTACAGTACTGTGCTAACTATCCCCAGGTATGTAGACGAGGTTTTGTCTCACGTATGATGGTATTGTACATACTAAGATCGAAAATCCCTCATTAAATGATCTGGCGGGCATTATTAAATTTTTAAACCATTACATTCTCACTTGTTGAATATTTTGACAGCATGAAATTCTTACTTGTTGGAATTCGTCGAGACTCCGATGGCATTTGGGATAATCTTCGCCGTTCGTTCTTTTGAAATTTCCTTCACAGCTTCCAAAGGGATTGTGAATTTTGTGACGTGGCCGAGAAATTTTGAATGGAAAGCGAAACTATTCTTGAATATGTATAGACGACCATATAGAAGAACATCTCCTGTGTACGCGCAAGAGAAGTCAGCGAAGAGATCCTCCTTGCTGTTGATGTCAAAAAGTTGTTGACACTTCTTGAGGCGCCTTTCCACTAAATCCGAGTCTGATTGGTCTCTACAAGACGCCTCCATGAACAGGAACCTTCCTGAGTATTGACTATGGAGCTAATATTTTGCTGGATAAATTTCGAGGGACAGTGAATATATTACTCGATAGGGAAATACAGCAGTTCAATGTAGTGAAGTACATTGCTTCGCTAGATATGCTTTAAAATCTTGTTACAATAAACTCTTGGGGACATGTCGTAAAATTTGTTTGAAAAGAAAATTGTTGTACAGTACTAAAATAAGATTCATGGTTCTTGTTTGGAGACTTCGGGTCTGAATGTGGGAAACTGGAAATATTCCTCCAATGTGAATTTTAGCAATTTTCCGCATCTTCTATTGATGAAATAATGAGAGAAAGTGAAAACTACAATTACAGTACCTTCCATATTTCTTAAATTTACTTATATAACTTTGATGCATGAACATCAGGTCAATGGACACATAATCAAGGCAAAGGAGGTGCTATACTGAGATTTTTGGTGAAATCTAGTTACTGCAGTTGCTTTTTTTTAACATGTTCCCTATAATGTACAGTATATACAAAGAAACTACTGTATATATATATATATATATATATATATATAT